GCCGCGCGCGCCTTCCCTGTACACTTATTAAAATCTTGTCAAGCTGCCCGAGAGACCAGTGCACCTCCCCGTGCATATACGCCTAGTCGGCCGGCTTGCAGCGCGTCTCAAGCATCGTTATTAGCGCTCTATCGTTTAGGCGCGCCACGCAAAGCTGGCCCAAAGTGTCGTGCTATTGAATTTTTCTTACCCTCGCTGCTGTATCGCACAAGCCGATCACGCGATGTTGTGCATTTTTGTTTTATGGCCGTGTGCTTCGGACTTCGCTCCCGAGACTTTTTCAGACAGCCAGCTAATTGAGAGCGCACCTGCTCGCCCCGCTTATTTTATTTAATATACTCGTGCCGTACACACACTTTTCATGATTTGTTTCTGTCACAAAATCATAGACGGAAACAATATTATCGTGTTTTACCTCAACCAGCCGAGCAATCGCCTTACCTTATACGTATAATGCAAAAAAACGACCAAGTGTAAAAAATTAATTTACTGCGCTCTTGATAATATATATATATGTGTAGGTGTGTACGTAGTAGAACTGACTCTGTGTTGTATATGTAGTTATAACAAAGCGAGCGAAAACGAGATTGATGTCGTGAAAAGCACGCGATAATACTTCAAAATCAATCACGCGCTCTTTTCGCTCTTTTCGCTCCTTTCGCTCTCTCGTGGAACGTCAAGCTCATACATATATTGTACTTTTTCGCGCATCGCTGCTTGGCGCGCTGTAAAGTGAAAAACATAAAAAAATAGAACGAGCGTTTGGCCAAATAAAGTTGCGAGCGCGACTGCGCGAGGAGCCGGGCGAAGAGCAAGAGACGAGCCATGACAGATGAGAGCGAGTGTAGCGCGAGCGACGAATAATGGAGTACGATAATAATGCCACGACGATTGCCTTCGAGCGAGCTCGTCGTGGCGCGAGTATACGACCGACTCAATAAGTAAACGACCTCTTCCGTCATTGTTTGGCTTTGAAATTTGAAAAAATTATCACGGCTGCAACTGTGAAAAGTCGGCTCAAAGTATAGCCGAGCCTCCCAAGCGGCCGAGTGGCATTTCAATTTTCCGACAGCTGCTGCGCGGCACACATTCACGAGTCGGGCTGCTGCACGCAGGGCGCATCTAGAATAAAACTGCATGGCTGCCGCTGCTGCGCACTCGAGCTGCTGGCGAGGCATTCACGAATCACGAGCTGCGCGCGCTAGTTGCACAATAAGCTAGCATGAGCTGGCTGCAGCCTCGCTCGGATTCGAGTGGCATGCTCGAACCTACTCGCAGCTCACAACTAGCGATGAGGCTGGAATTTTGATGAGCTTATCCTTTAAATGAGCGCTATTGCGTCTTCCCAAGGCATGCGCAACTCCGCCTGAATAAATATTTTTTCTCCATAATATACTCTCCTATCTCTCGCTCGGACTTTGAATTTTTCTTTTTTCTTTTTACCGCTAAACTTGATGGATTTTGGTCAAAATTAACAAGTGCAATACGACTGCATCACCTGGCCAGTGAATGAAAAATAAAATGCTAATTGCATCACATCCTACACCACTAAAAAGCTTTGCGCCATTTTCGAAAATTGCGAAAGCAGATATAGACGAAATATATCAAGCCACGGCCCGAGCAGAAATAAAAAAATAGCCGAGTTTTAGCCGAGAGCTGCTAGTTTTGTTTTGCAGCAAGAATGAAGGCAGCAGGTCGGACGTTATGTTCATCTTGGTGCGCGCGAAAAGAGCGTCCGAGAGCTGGCAGTGCAGGGAACGTTTGCCTTCGTTAAATTCCCAATGGGCACGGCAGCAGCAGCAGCAGCAGCAGCAGTGGAGTGCGTAGGAGGGCCGAGACAGGGCGAGGGAGAATTTCATCGCTCCGCCAGCGACGCGCAGTAACAACCCGGCCCACCATGCAGCGGCTATTTTCCTACGTGCAATCCTACATATGATATAGCTTTTCATGCAATCTCACCTTTCCGCGTATGCATACTAATTACGACACCATCCCTCTCCTACATCCGAGGTGCTTAATGCAATTTTTCATTCTTTTTTTTGCATTCCCTTTGCACTGCATGCCGGCCCATCTCTCTCCCCTCTTTCCCTCTCTTTCTCTTGCTGAACCTAGCTGGATTTTTTCGTCACATTCGTTTCTTCGTCCGTGATTTTATCTTTCACTATATTTCCACTCATTTTTTTTTGTACCTTCCAACCTCACCAAGTTGCGTTCTCTCTTTGATTATTTTCCTTTTTGTTTTTGTTTTTCATTCGCTCTCGTGTCTCGTGCTATTTTTTGCAGCTACGGCAGCAGCACCACTACTATTACAGTCGGCTGGTTCTCGAAAATCTTTTTTATTCGGTTGGCTCGTTTTTTGGCCTAGCGCTGCGACGTAAATCTATGGAAATGGAGCAGACAACTTTTTTAAAGGCCGAAGAGCCGTCTCTCCTTCGCTCGCTGTAAACACGCACAGCGCACACCCATAGATGGACCTGGGTATTGCGACGCAGGCACCCGTGGAAAGATGGCGCGCGGGTGGCGGCTTATAAGTACCGTGCGCAAGCCACCTTTTATTGTTTACACCGTTTATTTTCGATAGCCGAGCCGATGAAACTCGGGCTCACGGCAGAGAAAGTTTCATTTTGCCTCGATGCTCGTTGATGATTCGAAAGCGCCGGGCCACGCAGCACAAAGTTGCTTTAATAACGAGAGCAACGGGCAAGCATATAAATAAAGAAATGACGTTTGATAATTATATTAAATTTAATTTAGCGGTGCGAGTGAGTTAGCGAGTACGGCCATACATTGTCTATTCCAGCTGCGGAGCTCGGAGAAAGGAGCTCACCGGCGAAAGATCAGAATTTCATTCCGCAAGCTTTAGTTTTACTTTACATAAATTTCATAATAATTGGAATAAAACGTGGGCTCGTGGCTGGCTGCTGGGAGGGTGGGTGGCTGGATCGTGAGCTGTGTACGGCGCCGTATGTAGTTTCTGGCAATGGAGCAGCGCTCCTGCAGCCGGCAAAGTCTTGCGCGTATTATTTTATTATAATACGTATGCGAGTGTGTTTATACGCCCTCTCCCTCTCTCTCTCTCTCTCTCTCGCGTTGCATTATACATTCACGACCTTTTAAGGGAATAATTTTTATTTAGATGAGCACTGCGACTGGCTGGCTGACCGCTGCTGTATTTAACGCTCGTTCTCGTACATAATAGCCTACACAGCAACGAGTTCGAGTGCACTTGGCTTTTTCTCCTGCGACTCGACGCATGGAGCTTTTTGTATTTAAATTAGTTACGAGCGCGCCGACGACCATTGAAATCTTCTGCGAAAATTCTTAATTAACATTTCAATATAACGACGGGGAAAGAAGAAAAAACTAGGCTCGTTTGTGTCACGTAATCCATTCGCGCAGTTTTATGCGCGCGCAAATATAGCGCATCGCAATATAGTACATGCTATACACATTATATAGGAAGAACGGAAGGGAGAGAGACAAAGAGAAAAGAGTTAATAAAAGAGATTAGAGGCTCGAATAGCTCGAATGGCTCGAATGGCGAGACATGCAAAACAGTCGGTGGGGAATCTGGCCCAGCGTATCCCTCGGAGCGTAACTTTCACGCCAGCAAATTGTGTCGTCCGTCTTGATTTCGCGCTGCGGTGGCGCGTCGCTTGGCTCCTTTTTTTGCCTAGCCAGCTCGCTCGCACTCGTCCTTCGTGACTCGGTGTCCGCAAGCTGCTCAGCCACATCTACATGCGACAGAGCCACGGCTCGATGTCTTTGTGCACTTGGTTTCTCACATGCTCCGCTGTAAATTGTCTCCATCTTAATGAAGTTTGCGCGCGGCGCCACATGCCAGTCGTTTGTTCAACGCCGCGCGCGTGACTTGTCTTGCGCTCGCGGCACTCGCACGATTTATCCTTTGTCGCTCGGCTCGTACCTACCTACAACCGCGCGGCGTTGTATTTCCGACGAACGGGCGCTATGACTTTTGAGCTTTGCCATGGCCGCGAGCGTGAGGTCGAAAAATTCGCCCGCCATACGCGTATCCGCGCGCGGAATTAGCAATGACGCGCTGATGTAGCGCAGCCGATTCGTTCGCTTTATTGTTTTTTCTTATTCAATTCTGGTGCCGGCACGCACCATGCAGGGCATCATTGAATTTGTTATGCTGCGAGAGACAGAGTAAAATTCGAGCTTTTTCGCGTTGAACAGCTCGCGCACACGTGCCAGTATTTATTTGCCATTTTTTTTGTTCGCCTCTACGTACGCCACGTTGTTCGAATAACAATTTGCGTGATCCGTCAATTACAGGCAGATATATCGAAAGGGACGCCAGCGGAGCAAAGCGATAAATGTTTCATTAGGTCAGTCGATGAGCCCCACGCCAATATTATTAGAGAAATTGCTTTCACGTCAATATTGCGCCCAACGATGAATAATTTAATATGGAATAAATCGCTAGGCAAAAATTCAATTATAAATGCCGTCGAATTAGGTAATTGAGTGACGATGAAACATGAAAAACGAATAATCTTTATTGGTTCAGTCAGGAGATGGGTTCCTTTGCAGTCATTAATTTCAGCAAAAACGATCTAGTCAAATATCATACGGCATAATTTATAATAATCATTTGGTTTTTTTATGCCCAAGTGGAAAAACTCGATTGAAAATTAAATGAATGTCCTGTACGCTTTACAATTGTCAATCCATTTTTTGCTGTAAATGAGAGCGCATGCCATGAATCACAAATTTTTTTCAATAGGAGTACGAATTGACAATGGTTCAATGTTCGAATAAATCGACAACTTTAAAATCCTGTAAAACTTTATTGTTTCAAAATAATTTAAACGTTCCTTAAAAAATGTGTTTCATAACTTCTTAAACAAACTGGTATAGGTTAATTTGAAATACGTAGAGAAGAGTTTACTTTGCCGATGCTCGGAACAAGGCGATCGCGGCATCGGGTAAAAGAATTAGAGCTGAAAAAATGAAATGCTTGGTATTTCACTCACAGTTCATATTGACGCGCACACTGGCGCTGAGCGGATGCGATCTGTCGTTGTTGGTGGCGTTGCAGGTGAACTCGCTTTGGACGTCGCGACGCCTCAGGCCCTTGACGATGAGCTCGCTTCGTATCGTTCCGTCTCGCTGCCTTCGCATGACGCCACCGCCGCTGCTCGTCGGTCGGCCGTTTTTGTACCAGCTCACCCTCGGCGGTGGTTTGCCTGTTGAGAACGCGAATACATAAGAAATGCAGCAGTGTGCCAAGTGCCTAGTTGACGTGCAGCGACTCGCGCGCACTCGGCTAAACAAGCCAGTAATCGTTGATTAAACGCGTAGAGCTCGCCGAGAGAGCCCGTGCCCGACGTGCTCGCCCCTTTGCGCGGCTGCAAATCGATTTCGCATTCGCGTCCTATTTACCGTTTGTTCGTGGCTGAATAATACTGCAGCGTCACTTGGTAGCTCTGTGAGTGTTGGTCGGTTAGTCGGTGAGTGTGTGTGTGTGTGTGTGTGTGGCTGTACGTGCAGCGACCACTGAAATTAATTTTCTGTTTTACGCGATAGCTGAGTATCCAGCCAAGTCCCGTACACAACAAAGTGCGCCTGGATATTGAATTTCAATTCCGTTTCTGATTCGTTTCCTTCTTTTTTTTCTACTACTTTTTAATTCTGTAAGCCCGAGCGATGTAACGAAAAAACGAGCGCGATTCGATGGCCGGCCACTCGAAACGCAGCTTGACTCGTACTACTTGTGCGAATTGCACGAGCTCATCTCGAGCGAACATCTTGTTAAAGTAAGCCAAAGAAAATAAGAAAAAGAAGTCGAGCTTAAAGCCCTGGGCAACGACGGGGAGCGATCGCAAAAAAATACTCGATCGGATTTATCGGCTAATTAGTCTCGCGATAATCATATCAGGTAGTAGACGAAAATGGCTGTTCCATATGTATAATTGATCGAATCATAAGTTTATTTCTTGGGATAATTGATTTACTCACCTCCGTGAACGTCGCAGTGGAGCTTCATATCGTCTCCCTCGACGTAGGGGCCTACACTGGAACTGAGTACGGTACCGTGCTCGTTGAGTATGATTATTTTGTGCGGTGGTACTGCAACAGACGAATTACATTTTACGATGAAATATCGATTTGTGAAGGATAAAAAAGAGTAAGTTACACAAGATTTTTCCTTTTTATTCCAGGCTGAGTAGGACGATAATAGCCTATAACAGTTTCTCTTATATACTTTTACTCGAAGCAATCGTAAAAAACTGATAACGGAGAAAATCGCGAACATCTCTATATACACAGAGACACGCACAGTACACAAGCTCAGAGGCAGTACGTGCTTAGCTTCGTGCATACATACACATCTCTTGCTTGTATACTCAAACTGGCGCACACATGTAGGAGCTAGCAGGATATCGCAACGATATTAAATTGAAATTTGAAATCGATTTCGTTCGCGAGCTAGTGCACGTGCATGGGTGTAGGCGCTGCGAAGGGGGAGAGGGAAGAGGGGAGAGACCGAAATCGAAAAGAGCGTATCTCGCGATACTCGCGCTCGCATTGCTGCTTCACGTGAACGGGGCGCGGCTATAGATATGATCCGATCGTTACAAGTCGAGTCGAGGGGAAGAAAAAAAGATTATCACAATGATATCAATTTTTTTTCCTGCTACTATAGCAGCAGTAGCAGTAGCAGCAGCAGCGGCGGCGGCGGCGGCGGCGGCGTCGATCGGGCTCGTAATGAGTTTATATGTGCGCGCGATACTTTTATTCGATCGCTTCTATTTGCTGCTGGCGCTCGATAATAGCTCGGGATGATCCGCGAGAGAAAATAGCTCGGCTTGATGCGCGCACTTGGCGCACATACATATGTCACGAGCTCGTGAGTTTGTCTGCTGCGCGTTTGTCTGAATATGCTACTGGAGCTTGGCATCGCGATCCGACCTCTCTATATCTATATCGACCTGCATACTGCATACATATATACGCAACGAGGGAATTACAGGATGCTCTATATATCGATGTTATATGTTTACCTACCAACACTCGCTTATATTTATAGGTATGAGTAGTGAGAGAGAGAGAGAGAGAGAGAAAGAGACAGTCGACTACTACCCTAGTGGCTTGTGCGCTTCGTTTGATTGAGAGGATTCACTTCTGATAATTGATAATGTTGCGCTACCGCGACTATATACGTAGAGAGCCGCAGAGCCAGAGGCTCACGAGCGACGAGTTACGACTCGATGATTATGCTGGCCAAGTATTACACGCGTCGTTGTGGGGATTATCAAAATTTTCCGGCTCTTATCGAGAGCTGCTCGCATTATAATAGCTGCGAACGGCGGACACGGCAAAAGTTTTGCTACGCCCAGCCGAAGAAAATCGCTTGATTTTAAATGCTAAATTCATAATGAAAAGTTGGCAGTAGTCACCTTAAGACTCGCGGCTCGCCATTAGCGTATTTCATCGGGTGCCGAGTCGAGGCTCAACTTTCGACTTGATATTTTGCAACTTTTCTCCACTCGAAAAATCTCGTCGCATATAAAGATGGACAAAGTCGCTGCGCACGCGTACCTGTTTGGTTTTCTTCGCGCGACGTACGATGAGCAGCACTCAGCTGATTGAAAGGCCGAGGCGCACGCGGCAAGACAAAAAAGTATGAAAATGCGTCTCCGCTAAATGATAATATCCGACAAATTTTCGCAGCTCTGATTCTTCATTAAAGTACTGGAGTAGTCGAGCTAGCGCATCCGCGCGGACTGGCCAGATTTTCCGAGGGAGCAGCTGAAAGGAGTGACGGGTGGCTGGGAGGAAGAGGACAAATATACGAAAAGTTGCTTGTTGTTTCTCTCTCTCTCTCTCTCGCTCGCTCGGCAAAATAGCACACTATGCTGCATGCGTCGACGCGCTACGCATCCTTGAAAAGTAGCGGCGTTGAGGCTGTACGCCCCCGCCGCGCTAGTACATACAAAACTTTAGTTTCCTACATATTCGGTCGCCTGTTACGTACGAGCACGAGCGAGGCAAACAAAACTGTCTAAGCGTAATGCCACTTTTCCTCCAACTCTCGCACTCGCGCTCTCTCTTTATGCCGTGCATGGGTCTGCGCGCTGATCTGTAGAGCTGTGTGCATGTCGCTCGAGTAGCGAGCCCTGAGGCCCTCCAAGGGCTTAGTAATGAAACCTAAGTACTCGAGTAAATTGGAAACGATGATACTTGTAATTTTCTCCTCACCCTCTCTCTTTCTATATATATATGTACTCCCTTTCAATTATATACATCAAATTACTCTTGGTTTCTCAGAGTGCAGGCGAGATATATCGCGCGCAGTCGATTCGGTCTATATAATCCGGCTTCTTGCCTCAATTCCATCCTCCGGCACCGCGAGCCATTAAAGCCATTCGAGCTGCAGCGCCTCGCTAACCCAAGATAAAGAAGCCAACGATGCACACAAGAAGCTAGCTATTCAGTTTTGAGAGGAGCATCTTGTGAATACTTTCGAGGTTACTGTCTGTATACAAGAGCCGGGCACTCGTGGAGCTGCGAGCGCGAGCCGGCCAGAGCCAACGCGGGGATGAGCGCGGCTATGATTTATATTCGCGAGAGCTCACGAGCGGATAAAGTAATTTTACTCGAATGAAAAGGCTTCGCTCGTATTTATATGTATAGACGGCGCAGCTGGCCAAAAAGAGAAAGGATGAGTTTGAGTGCTTGTTTGAGTGTGAATGCATTACCGCGCTCGATTCTGGCCTTAGCTTTTTCTTTTGCTCCGACGGAGCACGACGCGGCTCGATCCGTTTATCAATTAGCCGACTGCTGCGCGTCTAACTCTCGACTTTTCATTCCGATCCGGTGGCATCCGGTCTATCTGCACTTACTGATTGGCGTCCGTGCGTCCAATCCGGGCCGGGAGCAGCATCTTCTCGAGCAAGACTTTGCGAATCGCGAGGGCTGGATGTGCCCTCCTCGAGCCCTCTCGCGCTCTTTGCGCTCAATACGTCTCTGCATTATATACACTGTGTGTACGTACTATAGATGTGTATACATCCGACATGATAGCAGGCGCCTCGCGCGCGCTCGATGCTCTGCGGTGAGAGATACTAGATGTTGTGTCGATCGATGTAAGCTCGAGCTTACCTTGTGTGTATAGGGTTATACGGTCGAGTCGAGCGCGACTTACTAGTACTACTAGTCAGCTTTTGGCGAAACAAGAGCCAAGTTGTACCGCTTGTAACAAGACAGTTTAATAAGCTCCTCGCTGCTTCTGCTGCTGCTGTTGCTGTTGTTGTTGTTCTGCTATCGCATAAGTATTCGCAAGACGTCGGAGCGTATCGGAGCGTAGTCGAGAGGTGCGCGCCTGCAAACATCACAGCTCCTTTATTGTTATAATCTCCTTTTTTCTCTCTATAATTACAATGACATATTGTAAACCCATGGTCATGAGTGAAAACCTTTTTTCTTGCCAGCTGATATAACTCGCACTTCGTCATATTACAGATATTATACCTATATATGAGAGAGAATTGCGCGATTTCGAGGAATTTTCCATTTATAAGCCAAAGCTCTTGCGCGAGTATACGTGTGATCTTTCTAACTAAATCGATTTCAACTCTCGCGTTTATACCCTTTTTCTCTCCTTTTTTTGTGACAAAGTAATTCACCTTCGTTGCCTTCGTATTTATATTTTTTATATCCTAGAAGGCATTCCGCAAAGATAACAAGTATTACGCTGTCCAAATTTTCTACAACAACGGCGGATGAAAAATTAAGCTCAATTGATTGCCGGCATTTTTGGAAAAAAATCTGAATGGAATAAGTTATTGTTCCATCACTTAAAATATTTACGTTTTCATTTTAAAACAATATAAATTCTAAATATCCGAATGAACATAAAGCTTTTTCAGTCTTTTCAGCATTTGCACGGATTGTTTTATGGGTGTATTGATTCAAGTATCGCTAAAATGGCTTTATTCATAGCTGTTAAATAATGAAATACAAGCGGGGGCCGATAGATAATTAAATAGAACCTTTCGTACTTGGTGTTGTTTAACAAAGAGAAATATCGACAGATATAATAATTGGAAAGTAATTAAGAGCTTAAGTAACAGGGCAAACGAACGATAAATAATTAATTATTTCATTCAGACGAGAATATGTATATGCAAAAAAAATGGATAAACAGTGGTACAGTGCAGAAGAGAGGAAGAGAGAATATAAAGATGAGCGAGTTGTAGAGTAATCTTTGCGCCTTGCAGCTCTGTACCAACATTTTTCTCAAATCCTTTTAAAATGATCAAAGAACGACTTAAATCTGAAGCTGAAAAAATGTACATGGTGTAGCTGCAGGAGAAAAAAAGAGGGGAAAAAGGAAAAGTATCTAAAGCGCGTTTTTGAATTTTGCTCTCTCAGTACTTGGGACAGCTCTCCCCATCTTCCTCCATTGCTTTTATGACTTGACCTCGTCGCTACGTACAGCCGAGAAATATTAATCAGAATAATTGCACGATTGCACGAGCTTGTATAGTCGGAGTGCCGGGGATTACATTTTTTCAGCGCGTAGTCGAATAAAACCTAAACTTTGTCATCGGCCGTATTTCGTGTACGCGGCGTTATGATAAGAATTTTTTTTCTTTTTTAATTCAATTAGAAGCGCGCGTCTTAGCTAAGTTGAAAAATCTCGAGAGACGTCGTTGATGAAAAAATTCACAGATAAGAGATCATTTTACTGGCTTGAAAAATACCGAGCTTTTACTAGCTAGCTATCCTGCACACGTGCGTACGCGCGCCTCGTATACGAATGTGCAGCTCCGAGATGACGGAGTCATTTTTAAAATTGCATATCCGTCTTGGAGCATTATGTGTGCCTTTGCAGATAAAAATCTAGACTCGAAAGTAATGCAGAAACAGCGGCCTACGTGGGCTTTTGCGAACGTGTGTAGAGCTGCAAAGAGAGAGGGTAAGAGAGAAAGAGAGAGAAAGAGAACGACTGTGCGAGAGATAGAGTTGGAGAAACGGATTCGTTGATCCTTGAGCTTTAGAAGCAGTAGCATTGCCAGTGCCTGCGTATATGTGCTCGGAATGTGATTCCTAATCGAAATACG